AAACCTAAATTGCTTGATTTCTCTATCTACTCTGATCAATTAGCCCAAGAAAATATGAACCTCTGCCATTCTGTCTGTGTTGCTGTTAACTGAATACTAAATGTGTACAAAGATGGCCACATTTGTTCTTCAGGTCCTGCTCCAGACATTTCCCTATCTCCAACGATGTTTTTTCTTAGTCTGCAACTTGCTGGAGAAAGCCCAGGCAGGATGAGATTAGGAATGGGTTGAGGAATTGGTTGAAGAGTAGGTTTTTCTATCAGTGTGTCTGTCATCTCGTTCTGGTTTATCGGGGATTTCTGATTTGGCCCTTGGAATAAAAGGAGAAGCAAAGGAATGCAGACAGTGTGATCTGAAAACTTTCCCTAAGGACTCTCTGTTTTCTGGCTGGGATGGCTTTCTAAATCTTTTTTCACCTGAGTTGGGTGGAGAGCATAGTCCTAGATATCATGTCTGTAGCATCTAACCGAAACCTCTGTTCCTACAGAGAGTGGAAGAAAGTTAATCTTAAAATGTGAATTTTTAAAATGTGTCCTGGGACAGGGCTGGGGCAAGTGGAAAAAGAATGTCCCACCTTAGTATTTGGATCTTGCGCTGTAGGGTGTCCTTGGCTCTCTTTCTGGGATTTCTGCCATTAACGTTGAATTCTGAGTTCTCCCCTGTTCTTTGTAACTGATGCTCTGAAAGTGAGCCTTGCCTTTGGCACTGGGACTCATTCTGGCACAAAGAAGTAATTTGATAGAAGCCGATTTTTAAAAAGAATTGGTGTGATTTTGAAAAATTTATAAGCAGGTGAAACCATTTCTGTTTCCCAGCAATTTTCAAGTCATCAGGAGAAAGAAAGGATGTTTTCCTGTGTAGAGCTGAATATTCCACTGCTCTAACTGACAAAAACTTTGTTACTACACTGTTAGGGCATGCAAAAATCAAGCACCTAAATAGCTGGAAGGGGTCTATAAGGAGTGGTTGGCTATTCAAAGAATAGACTCCTTTGTTATCTGTATTTGTCATAGAATAACACTTTCTTTTACTCTGTGAAGAAGAATGAGGTAGCACAGGAGAGGAAATTACAAGCTGCTTTCAGTCTATGATAGGAGGAAGTGAAAGC